GGCCATGGAGAGAGATGGAGCTTATTCCTGGTGGAAAGCCTTCCCTTGCTGGTGTAAGGGGTTGGGCTAGGCCCCCCTGGACAGCCAGGAGCTTTGGAGAGAGGTAGATGGGATGGCTGCTGTTGGGACCCCGTGACCCTGCCTGGCCAGAGGAACTGGCAAGAGGGACATTATTCAACTCATGGGACTGAGAGACCAAGTACCTTAGTTTCATTTCCTGTTGCTGTGATGAAATACCCTGGCAAAAGCAACGTAAGGGAGGAAAGAGTTATTTTAGCTCAGAGTTCCAAATTATAGTCCATCAGAGCAGGGACCTGAGGAAGTCAGCAGCAGGAGCTTAAAGGAGTTAGTCATATCACATCCATAATCAGAAGCCAATGGGTATGTGCATGACCCACTACCTAGGGAATGAAACCACCCCTCTAGACAGTTCTTCTCACATAGTTCCCCATAGATGCACCCACCCACCAACTTAATCTAAGTCCCCACTGAGACTTCCTTTCCAGGTGAGTTTAGATGTGTCAGGGGCAGGTTTAGCCATCTAGCTGCCTGAGTCCATTAATTTTCAGCCCCTGTGCCTTAGCACACTGAAGATCCAAAGGGTGAAAAACCCTCAGCAGTGCTGATGAGATAGAACAGCTGTTCTTCACCCCCCCAACACACAGGAGAGTATCCACAACTAAAGGGGCCAGGAGGAGCCTGGGTAACCTAGAGGCCCACTAGGGTCCAGGATTCTTAAGTGGGAGGGAAGCAGATCAGAAGCAACAGAGCCCATGAGAAGCCATGAACCCAGAAGAGAATGATGGTCTGGAGCCTGTGAGGCATGTGGATGGCACTCACTGGTCAGAGAACACAGGCTTTGTCTGGAGGTGCCACAGCCCTTCTCACAGAGACTCTTGGCCTCCGTGATGGTAAGAGGTAATGGTTTAAGATCCTGGGTGTGTGCCAGTTGGTAACAGCGGCCACAGGAGACATATACAGGAACTTCTTACGTATGCTCAGACCCATGGACCAAGTGGCAGAAGGGCCTTGCCTTCCCCAGCCAGAACTCAAGGGACCCAGGATTCTCAGCTGCACCTGTGCCTTGGAGGCCATAAGAAGCAAGAGGCTGAATGCCACTGTGCAGCTGTCCCCAAGAGCTGGACTTGCTGATTGCCCCAGCATGCCTCCACCAGTTAGCCCCATTATAATGCACCAGTGTGAAAGTAGATACATGACTATATCACACCCGTGTAATGAAATTAATATTCATGTTAATGTGAAAAAGGGATATTAAATTAACATGAAATATAATGTGAGATTAATATTAGTATAACACAGGCTCTTACATAGTCCAGGCTAGTCTTGAACTTGCTATGTTGTAAGCCCAGGCAGTGGTGGCACACACACCTTTAATTCCAGTACTCAGGAGGCAGAAGCAGGTAGATCTGTGTGAGTTCGAGGCCAGCCTGGTCTACAGAGAGAATTCCAGTCTCTGCAAATGGTCACAGGCTCCAGGAGCATCTGAGAGGGGACACTAGTTGGCAGAGGCTGTGTGTGTGTGTGTGTGTGTGTGTGAGGGAGAGAGAGTATAGGCCAAAGGACTATGGAGTCAGTTCTCTCCTTTGACCTTTACCAGTGTTCTGGGGATTGAACTGGGGTCTCTAGGCATTCAGTTCAAAGCACCTTTGATTCCCTGAATCACCTTGCTGACCCTTGGCTTGCTCCATGATGCTGCCTCCCAATTCCTTGTGGTATTGTCTCTGGTCACTTGGTCCCCTAGCTGGGTCTCTGGCATTTATCTAACCTTTGCTGCCTCCCAGGACAGGATTTCCCCCTCTGAAATGGGGATCCTCCACAGCATGGAAGCCAGCAATGACAGCATCAGGGGGTGGCAAGAGCTGCTGGTGGTTTCAGGCTTTTGCCAAGGGCTTTGCCTCCAGAGCTGCTGACCATGTGAGAGTTATAATTATCCCCCGGTGGCAGGAGGGTGACAGGGACTAGCCAGTCCCAGCTCCGCCCCTTGCCCTTCTTAGGGCCAGCTGGGCAGCCTGTCTATGCCCACACCATCAAGGCTTCTGACAGCTGGCCTTGCCATCTGGGTAATGGGGCAGCCCAAGCCTGAAGCCGGATCAGTTCTGAGCTTGAGTCTCTTCTTTGCCAGGTGCTATTGGCCCATCACAGACACAGGTTTAGACAAATTGTAATCAGCTGGTGGTCAGACCAGCTGGGTTATGGCCAACAGCACCCCACTCCAGCCCAGAGAATAAGGGTGTTAACACCCCCACCCTTGAGTTCTAATCCTGACTCTGCTCAATCTGGCTGTATTGTCCTGGATATCTGGGATTCCACCTTTGCATCACACCAGGGGACCAGGGCAGCTTCTGAATGGGCCTGGGAGAGTAGAGATGAGGTTCTGGAGTTGGAATGGCTCAGGAGCCTCTGTGAGCAAGCTTCAGGCACTTCACCTGAAAACCAGGCTCATGGGTAATGGTGTAGGGCTGCTTCTGGGTTAAGTCACCTAATCTAGGGAAATCCCCAGTGAGGACACCACACAGCCCAAATGAACTTCATCATTAATGGTGCGTGAGGCAATTCCCAGCACTCAAAACATATCCCTGAACCAAGAATGGAGGCACAATGCTTGTGATGCCAGCACGTGGGAGGCTCAGGCAGGAGGATCGAAAGAAAGAGGTTGGCCTGGGCTGCATAGTGAGACCCTGTGTGAGAGGTGACAGGCAGGGGAGGATTCATTAATCGCCAGTAGCTGCAGCTGTCACTTCTGAGTCTTTGCATCCACCATTCCCTACTCCCCAGGAGGGGCCCCTGCCCGCACTTACTCTTTCCTGCCCTCTTTGTCCCCCACTAAGTGCCCACCTGGGCAACTGTGTCTGGTAGACATGTTTTCTATGTAGACCCATACACTTGCGGCAGCTGTACACTTCGGGAATGGAGGCTTGGCGGATGTCTGCTTCCCATTCATGGCATCCCTGGCCCAGAGTCGCGGCCGTTAGAGCAAGTGTGTTCAGAGCGAGGCGAATGGACGGGCAGCGGGTGGTGACACGTGGGAGGTGGAGACCCTGAACAGGTGCAAAAGTGGATGATACAGAAACCCAAAGAGGCAGGGGGAGCTACGAGCAGGAACCGTCCCCCCGACAGCCATAGTATCAGACTGGGAGACTCAGCCAGCCCCCAGGGCTCACGCCCGCGCGGCGCTCTCACAGGTTCTGCGATTCCCCTCCCCCCTCCTCCCGCCCGGCCGGCAGCACGTGCCTGCAGCGTCCGCCTAGCCAGCTCCTTGGGGCGGGGCCCTTGGGAAGCGGAGGGGCGGGGCTGGGCCGCGGCAGGGGCGGCGCTGGGACTTGTAGGCGACCAGCCCTGAAGCCAACAGTTCTTCCCACCAGCCACAGCGTGACACCTAGGAAACTGAGGCCCCGAGAAGGCACCCAGGTGGCTCAAGATTTCAGTCATGGCCATCTAGGAATAAGTCAAGAACACACTTTAAACAGTTTTCAAAAGGCACTTCTAAAGGGGTCTTTGGTCTGGAGGCCTCCTCTTTACATTCCATCTTTACGGAATCTTTACGGATTCACTCAACAGACATTTCCTGGAGGTGCCTCTTTTGCCAAGCCCTACAGCTTGAGCAAAACCTGCTAGAGCCCAGTTGTCAGGGAGCTCATTCAACAACAGGACACCCTTAGACCAGGAGGAGGCCCAGCTGGGTAGTGTCTGAAAAACGAGCCCTACAACAGAGCAAAGGTGAAGCAAAGAGGGCAAAGGTGAGAACATGAGGCTGTGCAGGGGATACCCCCAGCAGGCTTTCAGGCATGAGGTTCTGCTCTGGGCCAAGGAGCCTAGGCAGAAGCGTGCTTCACTGGCAAGGAGCAGACTGAGTGGAGCTGAGCCTACACGGAGGCTGCCTGCCTCACTGTCCCTCTTGACCAGTGCGCCAGGCCTGTTTTTAATCCCACTGAAAGCTGCAGGTCCTCAGGTCTCAGTGTGATAGCCAGAGATGGGGATTTAGGGGACGATGGATCAGGGCTGCTTCCTGGCCCAGCAGCTAAGGCATCCTGCCTACTTCTGTACTGAAATTCCCATTTTCTTTTTTAGATGTGGGTTTCATGTCATACAGACCGGCTTCTGACTTTATGTAGCAGGAGGTGAACCCATAATCCCCTCAACTCCTCAGTATTAGGATCACAGGTATCGAAATGCATGCCTCTTTCACAAGGGGCCCCACGTTTGCATTTGCACTGGGCCAGAAGAGTTCTGCAGACTGTCATCCTGCCCCAGTCTTGAACCTCTTTCTACGTGGCATGCTGTTCTTTCTGCTTGTTTTCCTAAAAATAGCCCCACAGGAGTTCCTATGCCAGTGACAAGGGAACCCAGACGTGTCTACCCTCTCCCATGATCTCATGGCTCTTAGCTCCTTTCAAGACAGTAGAATACGTATTCATTATTGATTAGCCCTCGTTTCCACAGAAACCATAGGGTCTGGGAGTATGCTTTTGCTGAAGCCCCAGCATAGAGTGCCCAGGACCCCAAAAGTACTTACGACTGGAATTATTTATCTTCTCTATACATGGCAAATCCACTTTGCCTTTACTTTTTTCTGAAATAGGATCTCATTTAGCCCAGCTGATGGCCTCGAGTTCCTGATCCTTTTCCCTGCCCTACCTGAGTGCTGGGTTTACAGGTGTGTGCTACCAGCCAGGTTCATGTGATGTTGAGATCAAACACAAGGTTTCGCGCAGGAGCCACATCTTCGGACCTTTTAACAAGTCGCTCCGGCGTAAACCACTGATCCAAGTAGCTGACTCAAGCAGCGCATGGAATGTACCGGACCGTGCGCCCCCGGGAAACCAGCTGATACAGGCGAACACGCAGGGGCTAAGACGACTCACTAGCCAGGCGTTCAGACACAGCGGTCGTGCTTAGAACTACATTTCCCGGCAACCTCCGTTTAATGGGGGCGTGTCCGAATGGGGGCGTGGCCTCGGGGCCACGCTACAAAGGCGGCCGGCAGCTCGCGGGGCGCGGAGTAGGCGCTTGGCGGCGGAGTGAGGAGCGGTGTGGGACGGCGTGGGGGTACTCGGATTCGGCCTTCGACACCCCCGCATGCGCCGGCCGGCTCGGTAGCGGCGGCCCTGATGCTGCTGCAGCCCTCGTGCGCCCCGAGCGTGTTCCCGCGGCCGCCCGCCGTCCCCAGCGCCATGCACGGCTCGCAGAAGGACACCACGTTCACCAAGATCTTCGTGGGCGGCCTGCCCTACCACACAACCGACGCATCGCTCAGAAAGTACTTCGAGGGCTTCGGAGACATCGAGGAGGCCGTGGTCATCACCGACCGCCAGACCGGCAAGTCCCGCGGCTACGGCTTCGTGAGTGCCCGCGGCGCGCGCACCTGCCGCCGCCCCTCCCCCACCACCTCCCAGACCCGCCGCGCGCAGCCGGGACTCCGGGGCTTCCCGGGGCTGTCGGCCCTTCCCCCACACTTTCTAGTCTCCCCAAATAAGCGTAACCTTTAGCACCAGCGACCTGAAGACGGTTTCCCACTTCCTTCCACTCTAGTGTCCCCAAACTTCTCCTCTGAGAAAGTTAACGGTATTTACTGCTCGCCAAGAACAGCCTGGGGCCTCCCCTTGGGGTTCACTTTACTACACCTCCCAGGGGATTGTCGCTGTCCTTGAAGGCTGGATTTCTCAGCACTTGAACTTAGGGGAAAGAGCTGTAATAGGCGAGGCAGAGAATACAGTGCCCCAGGGGTCCTGAATACCAGATACCCTCCGGAGAGAAAAGACCCAGAGATGGCCTGATGCCAAGGCAGAGCCCTCTTCCTTTCTTCTGTGTCCTGCTTCCCTCAGCCAGCCACCGAAGCCCCTGACCCTCTGTGTTCCTGCAGGTGACCATGGCAGATCGGGCAGCAGCTGATAGGGCTTGCAAAGACCCTAACCCTATTATCGATGGCCGCAAGGCCAATGTGAACCTGGCCTACCTGGGTGCCAAGCCTAGGAGCCTGCAGACTGGTGAGAACTTGAGTTTTCTTTCCAGCCCTTCTGGTTTCTATATTCAGCTTTGGTATCTGTCTGATGGAAAACGCTGCCCCCGCTCCCCCTTTGTCCCAGAGTGGCAGCCAGCAATCATGTGCCTGCAGAGCCAGCCTAGAGCAGCCACCCCCAGCTTGGGAGGTTGATCCTCTTCCGCAGCAGTGTATGGTCCCATCAATACCAAATCTCAAATGTCTGTCCTCCAAGGGAGGGAAGAAGTCAGTTGCCAACGACTTCTGGAGATTGGGGGACACCCAGAGAAGCTGCTACTAACTGTGGGCTTCTCTGATGTGACTGGGTGTTGAGAGTTCACTAGCAGAGCCAGGGAGGGTGGCTGGGGTGGGAGAGGAAGCTAACTATCCCTTGTGACTAAGACAGTGTGGCATGCGTTACTCTGCCTGTCTGTGTGTGGCCTCGGGACCTTGCCCATGCAGTATGCTGTCCCTAACTGTCCTCTTGTTTTAGGCTTTGCTGTTGGTGTGCAGCAGCTACACCCCACCTTGATCCAGCGCACCTATGGGTGAGTGGATATAGCTGGTGCAGGTGGGAGGGCCTTGAGGTGAGACAGCTGTGGGGGTTCTCAGACTCAGATCTGAAAGGCTGGGGAAATGGCTGTTTGAGAAACTGTATTGAGTTTGGGGGGTGTGGAGGAAGAGATAAGACCAACAGCATTTCTCTAACCCAAAGGAGAGTACACGCCTTCAGGCTGCTACATACCTTGTCCCCACTTACGTGACACCTTCTCTGCCAGGTGTCACATGGCCATCTGTGGGGACAGCTGTTCTGACCAAGTGGGGGTGATAGGTACACACCTAGTGCGGGCAATTCTCCCTGGGCCCTTCCTGGGGTGTGCTCCAATGTGGGCAAGTGCCATGAAGATAGCTACTGTGGGTCTGCACCAGCTGGGGTTTGATGTTTGTGAATGGCATAGTAGGCGGCTGTCACTGGTGGTTGGCTTTTTGTGTAGTCACTTGCTGTGTCCCACCTCCTTCCGTCCCGAGAAGAGTGATAGGCCTGCGTGCTGCTTAGGAGAGGACTCACACACAAGGAAACACAAAAGTTGGACCCTGCTGCTTGTCTGTTTCTCCAGTGCAGACCAGCTGTGAGTGGGCACTCTTGACACCGACCCCACCTTTTGCCGTGGCAAGCTTGCCAAGTCCTGGCTGTCAGATTTTGTGTTTGAAGTTTGTGGGTGGAGTAGAGTAGGGTGTCTGTTGGGGCTGGAGCTGAGCTTGGCCAGCACAGTGGGTCAGATGACTGGAGAGGGTGCTGCTTATGTCCTCTAAGCGTGCTTGTCCTGTGGGGAGGTGCTGGGATTCTCCACAACCGTGCTTGGGGTTGGTGCGAGCTGAGCAGGAGTATATATTATATATGGGGGGTTGTGGTCTGGGCCCTAGCCTGTTTCCTGTCATAGTGTGACTGTTCTCCTGGGGTACTTGGGGTACTACTGTGGCAGGGGGTAACATCACTTTTTTGGCCTGGTATCTGTTCCCTATGTGTTGTAGGCTGTCTGGAAGAAGTTTGGGGACTACTCAGCCTTGGTATATCCATCTTTCTTGTATTCTCCCCTGCGAGCTGTGTGAGGAGAGTGCCTGCTCTCCAGTAGCTTGCTGTGTTCCTCGGCTGGGTTTCAGGCTTTTAGTGGGCTGAGTTGAGATGTGCACACAGAGCCTCTATCTGCTGCTTACACTGGGACATGCCTCCCCACTGGCTCTGACACATAGCAACTGCCTTGGAGCCACTAGTGCTTGGCCTCTGTGGTCCTGAGATCTAGGTTCACATCCTGTCTGTTGCTCTGACTATGCCCCTTTTAGTTGCCTTTTCTCGTCTGGAAAATGGGGACACCACTCTTTAAGATGATCTGGTCTCCTGGAAAAGGTTTTCTGTTCTCAGGTGGCTAGTGACTTACCCAGGGGTTGAGGTTTGAACTCAGGGTCTTTGGGGGTGGGTGGGTTCCAGGAATCCTGGTACTCGGGGGCACTTTTGACATCAGGCCACAGTGACTGGTAACTAGATTAATGGTCAGGTCATCTAACACTGTGTCTACAAAGTGGCCTCACAACGTTTGTTGGTTGCCGAGGAGTGTAGACCCAAATGGACAGGTGGACACGGGGCAGTGGTGGGTCTACATTGCCAGTAGTCCTTGGCACATCCTCTGAGGCACATCCCACCCTGCCCTTGCCAAATTCTGGGCAGCCTGGGTGGTGGTGGCAGCGTGGCCAGGCCTTGCTGCCTGGGTCAGTTGCTGTGAGCACCCAGCTGGGAGGTAGAATTGGCCTGTCAGCAAGCCCCCTTTGTTTTTGCAAACAATCTGGCCGGCCTAACTGGGCCTGACTCAGCGGTTGCCCTGGCTGAGGGCCTGGTGGGAGCTGGAACGTGGCAGCTCAGAGCCTGCGGGCACCTAGCTGTACTTTTTTTTCCCCTAGGCCCTTGACACTCTGAAGACCACACAGCCCACCTGTAGGCCAAACCACTTGGGGCCTCCCTGTCTAGTTCAAATACCCCTCAGCTCAGAAAGATTCTTGACGGACTGTCAGGTTTTGTTGTTTGCGTGGGTGCTCATTTGCTTGCTCCATGCCTGCTTGTTGAATAGGCCTTGCTGGCTGCACAGCCTGTGCTTGTCCATCATGTAACTGTATATGGACCCAAGACTCGGTATTTGGTGAAGACTTCTCAGCTACTGCAATAGCTTTTGCCAGCCTCCTGGCCTGTGTAGTAATCCCTGGTGGGGATAAGTGACCCAGGGCCTTCCAGCATGGGGGTCTCTACCAGCCCTGGGCACAGTCAGTAATTCAGGTAGGAAGGGAGGGCTGAATAGTTGGAGATTACCCCACCCTGGTAATGTGTTGATCTGACTTGTCAGGGCCCCCTAGAGTGAAGGGTGTCTGTACGAATTCAGCCTAAGGCTCATGGGTTGCTGAGGTGTTCCCTCACCCACCCCAGCCTGGCAGCCCTTGGAGCTTCCTGTGCTATATTTGAAGGGCCTGTTGCTCTAGGAGGCTGCCCTCTCTGTTCTTAGGGGAACCTTGCAAGATGCCTGCTCACTCAGATCACATTTTCTCCCCAACCTGGAGCCAGGCCCTAAGGGCTGAGGTCAGGCCAGGGTCCCAAGGTGCTAGGTGTCAGGTTGCACTTCTATTCAGTAGCCATGGCAACAGGGCCATGGTAAGGACTGATTGATTGTGGTGTATGGGACCTGTTGATCCCAAGGCCATGGAACCTGTAGGGTTTTTGCTGGGTGGTCCTTCAGCAAGCCCAGCAGCAAGCTTTGCTGGCCTAAGCTTGGAGCTCATAGGTGAGTGTCCTGCCCTCTGTCGGGCTACTCAGGCCCATCCCACCTTTCCTAGCATCTCTCTGCCCTTATAACAGTTCTTGGATGGATGTTCTGTCCCCGAGACAAACAGGATCCAGGAACCTTTTCCCTATCTAGGGCTTTCCCACAGTCATCATTGTACAGACTTCGGTTTTCTGTGGGACGGACCCGGTACACGCTTAGAGATGTCTGTCCTGATGCCATGTCACTAGGCCTATGCATGAGGTGATAGGGAGGAGACTGTCTCCGCCAAGAATGGGGGAGGGGTGGTAAGCTCGTGCATGTCATACTGTTGACTCAGATGCTCTGAGTGAGGCATGTCCCCAACCCAGGACCCAGTGCACAAGGCTACCTACAGTTAAACAGTGTGCTGCTGGGGTGCTCCGGAATGAGCAGTGTTATGTGTCAAGTCTGACTGGCTAGTTGAGCCACATACTGGTACTGGTGTAAATGAGTGCCATAGGGTCCCACACTATGTCAGACATTTCCTGCACAGACAGTACACCTAGTGAGAGGAGACTGGGGGAAGGGACATTGTTCGTGCACCTTCAGAGGGGTTTGTCCTAGTTCCACTGAGCACAGTGAAAAGTGAGGCCAGGGTGAGGATGCAGTAGGGGCAGGTGTCTGTCATTCTCTGGCTCAGGAGGTCTGTCTAGGGGAGCGGCAGGGAGGATTTAGAAGTGCAAGCATGAAGCCAGGCCCAGAGCAGCAGGTGCAAGCGTGCTCACCCCACCACCTGTGGGGTGTCTTGGGGGTGCCCAGCTTGCTTCCCCCATCATCACTTCCTGTTTGGCAGCCTGTCTGGAGGCAGGCGTGGGCTGTGTCTTGTCTGACCCTCCCAGAGGGCGTATAGCCTGTGCTGCTGCACCTGTTGTTTGTCCCTGATGTGACAAGCCAGCCTCAAGTGCTCTTAGTTCCTCTCAGAGTTCAGTTATTGCCAGGTGCCTGAGGGACCTCTTCTGAAGCCTCAGGCTGAGGGTCCACCAGGTGGCCCACTGGCCCCTTGATCTTGGCCCAGGAGTTAGGCATCCCTCGGAATGATGGCTTTGCTCCTTTGCCCAGCCCTCCTTCAGTCTCAGTGTCGGTTGGGAACCTGCAGTGATTCTGACCTTCCTTTGTGTCAGGCCAGAGACTCTAACTGCTGGTGTGATCACAGTGCCTCCTGCTAGGAGGCTTGCAACAATGTGAGACAGGTCCACACGGGACAGTGCAAGAGCTGTGAAGGGAAGGGACTATAGGTTGATATAAGAGCGGAGCCCAGAGCCCAGTGTGTGAGTCTCCAGTGACAGAGACAGCCAAACCACCCCACTGAGGAGAAAATGGGTCATGTTTGACTTTTTTTTTTTTTTGATACAAGGTCTTGTTATGCAGCCCAGGTTGCTCTTGAACCTGCAGTGAGCTTCCTTTGGCCTCTTCAGTACTGAGATCAAAGGTATGCACTATCAGGTCTTATATAGCCCAGCAGACCTTGACCTCCTGATTCTCCTGCCTCTACCTCTCTTGCTTTCTGGAGCTGGTTCTTGAACCCAGCCATATTCGTGGTAGACAAGCTCTCTACCCCTGGGCTACTCAGCAATCCCCCTGCTTCCGGAGGGCTAGGATTTGGGTTTGTTTTGAAGGCATCCCTCTAGTGCAGGGTTGAGCCAGGTCTTCCCTCAGGACAGCAGCCATCCAGCCTGAGGCAGTGGAATCACCTGGACCCCTAGCATGGGGAGAAGGGCTAAGATGCCAGAGTGGAAAGTAGAAGTCCTTGGCCTTGGAGTCAGAGGCCGTCATAGCGTACAACTTTGAAAGTAGCAGGTGGAATTTGGACAGGCTCAGATGGACCTGCTGTTCCAGTTGGCTCCCACAATAGTGTGTCTCCTATCTGCATTCACCTGCCCCAACACTCAGCCAGCTGTCTGTGAACCCCAGAGAACCTGGTGTCCCCATCACAGAGGATTCCCAGGAGGCCTGCCAGGCTGCCACACACAAGCTACCACCCCACCCCAAGGCTGGGTCTGCTGGTAAGCTGCCAGGTTGCCTCCAGCACCATGGCATAAGGCCCTAGGGAGAGAGAAAAAAAAAAGTGAAATGGGCTCATTTGCCTTTTTCGCTTTTATTTTCAGTGGTTGCTTCATTTTCGGGAAATGAGCCCTCCTGAGCTGCAGGCACTGTTTTTTCTGAGAGTTGGGCTATTCAAGGCCTTTACTCACACTGCCCACCCTCTGCTCTGGTTGGTAGCCGTGGTAGCTGTGCTCAAGACGTGGTAGCTGTGCTCAAGACGGGGAGACAGATGTCTCGTATGTCACTGCAGAGTTCCCACCCCTTTTCTGGGGTCAACCAGGAGCCCAAGGGATGCGCTTGTGGCATCTTGTGTACTAGTTGGGAAACTGAGACCAGGGAAAGGGCAAACAGGTCATGGGATCTGGACCCTTATGCTCCTCTAGGCTGAGTCAGAAGACTCAGCTGTTTGTTACCCTGACTCTGGACTTGGTGTAAGGAGAGGCCACCTCTTCCACTCTTAGTGGTCAGGTTCTCATGGCTCCACCCTTCAGACTCAGCTGTCAGTCCTGTCATCTAGCACCCAGAGCAGCCCACTCTGGGTACATCCCTTCAGCCTCTGGTGGCTTGGTAACTCAGTGCTACCCAGAACCAAATACCAGTGGGAAGTGCTGGAACCCGCTGCCGGAGTCGAGCAGTTCTTGTCTGGGAGTGAGGATTGAAAGAAAAATTAATAAACCAACACACTGCACATGGGATCTTTTCTTGAGGGCTCTTGTAGAAACTAGTCACCTCACTTTATTCCAGTAATCCCTTTTTTAAGTTAGAGCAAAAGCACCTCAGTGCAATGAAAGAATTCACAGGGAAGTCAAAACTTCTTTACCTTGACCACCTGTCTGTGTGACTCTCACACAAACAAAAGGTGTGAACTTGACAAGATATCCCACCTGCTGTCGCAAACAGAAGGAGAGAGACTTGGCAGTTTATCACTGACTCCAGTGAAGGCCAGGGTGAAAACATGTCTTTCCTCGGAAATCAGAGCAGCCTGGCTAACCAGCAGCTCCCCACAGGGAAGCTGAATAGTCATCCTTGCTCTAGCATCACATGGATCTCCCTGGCAGGAGGAGGGTCTCCAGAGCTCTAGGCTTTAGACTTTAGTGGTCTCTGGCCTAGGAACTCTTTTCTTCCGCTGCTACTCAAGGGTGAGATTAATTGTCCTGGGCCACCCTGTCTTGAGGAAGGGCAAAAGATTCCCTGAAGAGAGTAAGTAAAGGGAATCCTTGGTGTGAGGAGATGATGGCATCTGCTCTCAATTGAGGCCTGGGTGGGCAGAGCTTGAGAAAGTTGGTGGCAGAGCACTCTAAGCTGGGCGTGGGAGCCACTGGAGAGTGGGTCTCCTGACCTTTAGCTTTTAGCCCCCAAGACCTGGGTATGAAAAGTGTCTGTTTACTTGGCCTCTCCCCAGTCCCTGATACGCCAAAGGTATGGGGTTCCCACAAGGGTGGAGATCCAGCAGCATTCTTACCTCTTGGAGTCTGAACAAGCAGCACTGGGGAAGGCTCTGAACACACATGGCACTTCCAGGCTTTAAGCAGGGAAGTAGGGCTGGGGCCTGTAGCAGAGTGCAGCCTGGGATCAGGGCGGCCCTTGAACAGGGCTCGGAGCTAGAACCAGGAGGGTTTTAAAATACAGAATGTGACTGTGCAAGAATGTTCTGTGTTGTGTAGGCCCCTCTATCACAGCCATCGCCACCATTGGCCTGGGTAGTGTCCCACTGCAGTGAGCTTGCCTGGCACTGTAGTGCACGTGGCACTTGAAGCTGGGTAATTCTGTGTTCCAGGAACTGCCCCAGGTGTTTAGATGCTAGCTGTGCTCCTGGTCTCTATCCCTGAGGTAACAGTAGCATCCTGCAGTGATGGTTTAGAGCGCAGTTCCGATGGAACATGGCCTAGGTGGGCGACTTGGCAGACCTCTGAGCCTCTTTACCTCCCCTATGTCTAAGACAGGTGTGGTGCCACACAGCACAGTGCTAACTGGCTGAGAACTCAAGGAAAGTATAGGTGAATAGGCAGAGATGTGGATGTTCTGGAGCATTCAGGCCATACAGGATTGGGCAGATCCTCCGGGTAGGCAAAGTAGGAACCAGCCCCTGATGTAAGCACGTGTCCTTGACCTGTGAGTTGGCTTTGCAAGGAGCCTAGGTGTTAGTGAGCCTCTGTTAGCAAGCGCCACCCCTAGAGGGTAAGGGCTCCCACCCATATTTAGGGAAGTTCAGAGCGTGGCACTCCAAAAGCCCAAACCGATGAGAGTGCTTCTGAGTCTTAGGGTAGGTGGGGGCCACAAAGATAGGGAAATTCCCCGCTATTTATAACACCCATTATAGGGGGTCTCCTCCCTCTTACAGGTAGAGGGGCTCTCAACACACACCAGGTAGGGGCACCAAGATAGGCTGTGCTTCTCTGGGAAGGCCTCAGTCCCAATTAGGACCCTCCTATAGTCTCCATGGCAGGCATCACAGCACCCTCTACCAGAGCTCTGATTTCAGGAGGGTCAGGCCTGTGGAGCAGTGCAGGGAGTGGCCCTGGATCCCAGGCTAAGGCAGGGGGATGCTCAAGTGCAGGAGTCTTAGGTGCTGTGGGGTCTGCTGCTGTGTAAGTTTTGGTCTTAGCACAAGGGCTTGGGGGTCTGGTAGGCCAGCTGGGTGGTGATGGGAGCAGTCCATGATAGGCAGTCCTATCATGCTTACTCCTGCCTGGCCTTCCTCCCTGCTGTGGCCTAGACCCTGCCCTCAAGCCCCACTTTCTAGCAGTACCCCTGAGCTATGGTTTCTGTCTCTACCTCATCCTGCAGAGTTCAGCCCAGTGTTCTGCTCATGGCTAAGTGCTAGCAGGAATGTGAGAAGGTATCATGCAGCTCACGGTATTGTTTGAATCCACTTCAGTGCTATTCCAATCAAGGAAATAGGACAGCCAGCAGAGGAGGGTAGACACCTGCCTGGGACTCCTGCATAGGCTGTTTGGCCCTACAACTGCAGCCAGTTGCCTGTGCAGCATACAGGCTGCTGCTCACTGCTAGTGCGTGGTGTCCTGGCAATGTCTGGTTAGCTTCCCCAGCACTCTGAAAATGAGAGGGCAGCTGTGAGGGTGATGGGTGCAGAGATTCCCAGACAGTGTGCGGGCTCACACCTGTGTCGGGTATGCCTCCTTGCGTGTACCCCAGTGATTCTCCTAGCTCCACCCCAGCCTTGCCTGTGTCGCTTTAGTAAATGTGCTCTCAGATGCTGCTGTGGGGCTGGAGAGATGGCTCGGTAGATAAGGTGAGTGGTGTACAAGTGTGAGGACCACAGTTCACATTGCCAGAACCTAGCAAGAGTCGGGTGGGTCTGCAGCTCACCTGTAATACCAGCATGTAGAAGACAAGGGTTCCCAGAGCCAGACCATAGAATCTGTGAGCTCTGGGCTCAAGTGAGAGACCCTACTTCAATATACACAATGCAGAGAGTAATCCAGGAAGTCTCTTCCTGCACATGCACACCACTCCAGTGGATCTGTGTGATGTTCCCTTCTCTGCCACCCACTCTATGGCCAGCCAGTTCTCCACACACTGAGGCTACGTGTCACTTTTCCATTTGTGACTGGTGGGTACTCGGATGCTGCTGTCACTGGTGACTGTGGCTCTTGTTTTTAATCATGCACATGTGCTCCTTGGCCTTTGGACCTCACCAGTGCTGCCTCTTCCCACTGTCTCTGCTGGGCATTCTCTGCACCATACCTCTCTGGGGTGGCTGTGGGAAGCCCTGTTGTCGTTAGGTGTACTCGGCCTGCAGTCTGTGCACCTACCTCATCCTTCACGGTTTTCTCCCTCAAAGTTTTTACTGTGGGTGGTGGCCTGGCCTGTGGTGGGGGCACCTTCACCCTAGAGGGGTGTTGGAAGTCAGTCCACTGGTCCCCTGGCTGTCCTTGATTATTCATGATCACACACAAGTTGCTGGGACTCAACCTAGCCATGTCTCTCTGGGAGTGACCTCTCCATAGAGATGAGCACATCCTGCTGCAGATGAGAGGCCTGGGGGAACAGAAAGACAGCTCTGGGGAGAAGTTAAGCATTTTCTTAGAGCAAAGCTCTCGAGTTATGACAGACTCCAGGCCTATAAAGATAGGAAGTGAGGCTCCCCACAGCCCAGAGGCACTTGGACACACCATGAGAGAGCTGCATGCTGACACCCTTGGTGGCATCTTGCTATAACCACAGCCTCTGCTGTTCATAAGTACCATCTGCAGGTGTCTGCTACAGAGAGACAGCCCTTCACCCAGTCCTGCCCAGTATGAGGCTGGCTGTCCAAGCAGACCCAGCAGCAGGTCCAGTTCCCTCTACTTCATTTTCCTGCTGCCTAGCCTGTATCTTCTTGTGGTATGCTATACTTTCTGGGGGAGACTACAGTCAAGGGCAGTAAGTGACACCGAGTGTATTTCCATAGTGGCTGGGGCATGCGGTAGGAGCTTAGGTGCCCTCCAGCTATAAGCTGCAGGACCTATGCAGTCACCTGGCACGGAGCACTCAGCTTTCCTGACTTTAAAATGGGCATGTTGGTAGGGCATCAGATAAGGCCTCTTGAGCATCTTGTTTCCCAGCAGAGTACAAGCACACTAGCAGTCCTGTGCCCTCTGTTCTGCAGTGGGTGTACCGGAACCCTTGCTGACAGGGAAGTAGTGGGTGGCTAGGGAGCAGGTGTCACCAGGATTTGGAGGTACCTGGCACGAGAGCTGCACTATTCCCCAAATGTTTTCACAGGCCTTCATTCAGCTCTGTCCTCAGTCTTGAGTTCTCAGTTTAAACAAAGGCCGTGTGTTTATACATTGTACAGTGGGTTCCATCCTGCAGGAGATGTGTGGGGAGTGGGGCTCTAGTCTGAGGAGAGGGTACTGTGAGAACTGGCATTCAGTGGCCTGTGGGGTTGGAGTACACCTGACGTGTTTCTGCATCTATGTTGTAGATGGGTACACAGACTAAGACAGGGTACAGATCTGCTCTTTGCTCTCCGCTCCCCTGGCCTCCCCACTCTGCCTACAGCTCCTGACACTCTGCTTGGCCCACAGGCTGACTCCCCACTACATCTACCCACCAGCCATTGTGCAGCCCAGCGTGGTGATCCCTGCCACCCCTGTCCCGTCACTGTCCTCGCCCTACCTTGAATATACACCAGCCAGCCCAGCCTACGCCCAGTACCCTCCAGCCACCTACGACCAGTACCCGTACGCCGCCTCGCCTGCTACAGCCACCAGCTTCCTGGGCTATGGCTACCCCGCTGCCATGCCCCCAGCCTTGTCTGCCGCTGCACCTGCAGGCACCACCTTCGTGCAGTACCAGGCGCCTCAGCTACAGCCCGACAGGATGCAGTGAGGCGCGTCCTGCCCAGGGTCACAGCCACCAGCCTGCCAGCCTCGGGAGCCACCAGCACTTGGGTCCCCTCAGGCCCCTGGGCCCACCTGCCCTGAAGGTACCAGCAAGCATCTTGTGCAGCCCTGCTGTGCTTGAAGGGGCTTGAGAAGGAAGGGCACACTCTTTGGAACCTCTACAGCCACTCCATGCCAGGTGCCTTACTCTGGGACGTGTGCAGACGTCCTCCCTCCTCTTTGGGAACTGTCCTCTGGGTGGAGCCGGCCTCCCGGAACCCTGCCCAGCTGCCCTTCAGTCGAAGCACTGTGCCATGTCCTGTTGGGAATATTCTGCTCTGAAGGCAAGACTGTCATCACTAAGAATCCCAAACCTATTTTTTACTTAGAGACTGGCTTTGGTCGATAGTTCCCTGTGGAAACAATGACAGTATTTCTCTGTGACAGTGTCACTGATGGGCTCCCTGGAGCTCCCCCTCCCCCACAGGGTGGCCATCATCAGACAGCAGGCCTGCAGGGCTCTGAGCTCCTGTCTGATGCTGTCCACCTCACCTGCAGAGATGCCTGTCAGGGCGAATTCTCAGGTGTCTGTTGCTGTGCCATTGAGGCCTTCTTCCTGGCCTGTCCCCTAAGGCAGGCCTTGTGCCCACCCAGCCTCCCATTGTCACCTGTGTGCCAGTTTGGGAGCATGACCTAGCTGCACAGGGAGACGTTCCAGCCCACATCTGGGAGGGTTGAAGTGGGCATCTCTGGCAGCATGGGCTGCCCGCAGGCTGGGCAGTGGGTCCCTCCACACCTACCTCAGGGAGCCAGTGTGTAGACACTCCACAGCATGCCTGATAGTCAGGGCCTGGAGGACAGAGGGAGTAATGTTATAATAATATTTTTATTAGAATGTTCTGATTATAAAAAATAAAACTTGTTTTCTTTAAAGAAGAAGTTGGTCTCAAGTTTTTCTCTCAATGGCCATGGTGGTCCTGTGTCCTGGGTTTCTGACAGCTGGCCATCAAACCCTCACTCTGCTTCAGCCTCTGCTGGTCACACGCTTCAGTGACAAGCAGGGCCTGCCCCAGTACGACCCAGAGGGCTCCAGCCACCACAAGGTAGGTATCTGCAGCTGTAGGACTGGGCAGGGTCTACTGTTGACTTGATGCTCGGGCCTTTAGAAGTGGACCTGGGACTGCTTTCTTGCACAGTCCCTTGGGTCCTTCGGAGACTTGTTCTGTTTTCCACTTGATTTGAGATGTGTCTTCCCACTTCTGTGGCTCAAGCTCTGCCGAACTGTCAGTACTGGGTTTGCTTTCATCCTGGACCTCTACCTCCAAGTGTCAGTTTGCAAACACTGAAGAGTTAGGAGGTCAGTGTGGGGCTCTCAACCCACAGCTGACATTTGCTGCTGCTGATAAAAGTGTGGGGCCAGAGAGGGGTGGCAGGCACTGCCAGGGTTATCAGGAAGGCCACTTAAAGCCAGTATATTTCCTGTCTCTATCAGCTGGTGGCAGCCACAAACACAGGACCTCAGGAAGGCCTCTTGGTCTGGAAAAAATGCCCTTCTAGGTTCTACAATTGAGGGCTCTAGACAGGGCAGACCCGGGAGAATTGAGAGGCACCGTTTTGAGCAGCAGGCTGAGTGCTGGTGGCACAGTCACACACAGTCATATCAGTAAGGGCCATGATGCCTGCTGTTACAGCATAGTCGCTGTGGATTGTCCCCAGATAGGGATGGAGGCTGCAGAGTCTTCCTTGTCTCTGTGCAGCATGGTGGAAGGTCTGCTGTAGGAGAAGCCACACTCCCAGGACAGGGGTTTTCCCTGCTTCACCTCCCAAGAACAGGATTTCTGTTGTCAGTGTTCCCAGCTGCCAGCACAGACCTGGTGCCCAGTGTGACCCAGAAGACGCACAGGTTCCATCCAGCCCTGGGGCCAGGCACACCTCGGTGCAAGCAATGCTTACAGACTACACACAAATTAGTGTGCTCGCCCTGCAGGTAACACGTTCAGATGGACGCTTGCATTTGCGTCCTTCCTGTGGACGTTCATACAGGGAAGGATACGAACAAAAACTCCACACACGGGTGTGTGGATACACTTTCATAATCACGAATCTGACTCAGCTCCAATGCATACTTACACAGGTACCATCTGCGAGGTGGCACACATGCATGTGTGTGCCGGCATGCCGCAAACCCAGGCATACTGGATAACATAAGCAGGGCTCATATGTGTCCTCTGTGCCCTGTGGTAGGTAAGGACCTCGGCCTGGGGCAGGGGTACAGCTCCAGTTTTTTTGGGGGGGGCAGGTCTAGAGAGCTGGAGGAGGGGAGGATCCTGTGCCCTGGACTGGACCTTCTCTGTGCAGGGGCAGTCAGGTGCCACTCCCTGCTGGAGCTTTTTCTTGTAGCTATGTGCAGGCGGGAAGCAGAGCAGAGTCGGACCGAGCCCCACTGCCATCCTACAGGAAAACTTTGGCCGAGTGTCATTCCCAGTGCTTGCCCAGAGCCCACAGCTTAACTAAGGTCCAGTTGCCACACTTGCGGCTGAAGTCTCCATCTCTCCCCTTCCCTGGGGGCCTGGCCCTACTCAATGGAATTCCTGTCCCTGAGTGCCCACCACTGTGAGACTTTCAGGCCTGGGTGGCTGGCAGATGCCGTTTGCTCTGTTCAGCCTTCAAGCCTCTCGATATGGCCAAGGCGTCCGTGCACTGGACTGCCTCTGGCCCGTATCTCAAGCTCAGAGGATTCACAGGAGTGGCCTCCCGTGGCTGAAGGCTGTCTAGGGCGGGGACATGCAGGCTGGGAGGGTCCTGAGAGTTGATTTGGAGCCTATGGCCCTAGGTGTTTTGCTCACAGTTTCCTTCTTGGTGTCCTGCACTCCAGTGCCGTCAAGGGCCCTGAGGAAGGGAGCCATACAGTGGTGATGAAATGACTTCCTACTCTGGCCCCTGTGCCCTGGGCTGTACATGTTCCTAGCTCCTTTCAGGGCCTCAGTTTTCTCTCTACACAGGCTATGCTGATCCTGCACCCCTTAGCAGCAGCTTCAGCCTTTTTGGGTCCAGTGATTGGGTTGGGTCAAGAGGGCCCTCTCCTGCCACCCAGTGTCCTACCCCAGCGATTGGCTCAGTGGGCCTTCTGGAACTCCTGGAGGAAGGGGGCTTCTCTGGAGGAAGCAGGCTGGGAACAGATAACCCTCAGTTTCTGTGGGGGAAGGAGTGTGCTGACGGACAGGCAGGGAAAGCTGGGAGCCAAACAGGATCTTGGTAATCTCTGGAAGGCTTTTTGGCCCAGCTGAGGTCCTGAAGTTGGACCTCAGATGTTTGTTTGTGTTAAACAAGAGCCAACTGCTTCCCCCTTTCGCTAGAGAATGTTTCTCAAGGATAGCTCTCCCTTGTCTCTCCGGGCAGGTTGGGACAGTAGCTGCCTTGATTCTGCTCCCAGCTGCCTTAGTTCCTCCTTGAGACCTGGCCCAGGCAGTGTGCTAGACAGCCCTCTGTTGAGGGGAACTGGGTTGAGGGCAGAGGGAATAAATTGATCCAGGCTTCAGCTCCTACCTGCCTGTCTGTTGTGGCCCACTGGCCAGCTGGCGCCCATGAGTGCAAGGTGGACTGCTTTGACCAGTCCTCCCTCATGTCAACATTTCTCAGATCTACAGGCCTACCCTCAAGGACTTCCTGCAGTTGGTATGCAGTGGGAGAGGCTGCTGTTCATGGTATCTCTGGCTCTCCACTCTAGAACATGGATGTGATGACCAGAGCTTCAGCAGCCATCCTGGTCCTTGGATGATTGATCCAGCCATAGTTATACCTCCTATAAACTGGCTAATTACCAAGACCCCCCCCCCCCCCCCCCCGCTCCTTGGATCATCACTGGAATGAAAGGGGCTGGATAACGTAACTTGCCAAGTCTGGTGTGAGGTAGGTGATGTGAGCTCTCAGAGCCCCAGGAAAGACTAAGCAATGGGCAGATGTGAGAATTACACCCAATTCCTGCGAACCCCTTTGAGCTCAGGCCTCCGCTCCCCAGAGAAAGGATCCACATTTCCAGCCACCCACAGCCACATTACTAGCTTCAGCCTCATGTCTCCAGAATTCAGGCTGTCCTTGGAGTCTGAGAATTTATGGGCTCCCTATCTGACATCTCCCTGAGACCCTGACACCCCATGGGAGGTGCCAGAGAGGCAGCCAAGGCAGAGAATATCCAGTTATGTCCAGATGCTGCCAGAGTGCTGGAGAGTGGCTGGACCCGATTTAACCCAAGCACCTTAAATCTAGCCGTGTAAGACCTCAGGACCAGGTTCAGGCCTCCGCCCCATCTTCCCCACCTCACCCCACACAGCCAGCTGGGTGTTGTCCCCACTCTTGCCCCTCTCTGCCTGCTGAGTCACACTGGTGTTTTTCCTCAGACATGTAAACATTGAGCCAGGACCCCAGGCAACAGGTTGGGGTGTCTAGATACAGCTGCCCAGAGCTCCCTGAACTGGGTGTCACCACAGGCAGTGGGGGAAGGGTAGCACTTGCCTTCCCAGTACCTCCTGGGGCTGCTGATAAGAGCCAGGCTTTGCTTATCAGCCTGTTATTCTATCCCTGGGTGCTCACAGGGACTGAGAGCAGTGATGGGGAACCCCTACCACTCCACTCCCTAGCTCCTGCATGACGCAAGGCTCAGAAAAGCCCTGGGTGCCACCTGCTGGCCCCTACCTGGCCATGGGGGAATTTTTAGAGGAGTTTTAAGAATAGAGATACATTCTTCTAAATTATAGTTCTAAACAGTGCTGGAAAAAATCT